GTGTGGTGGATGTCAATCTCGATAGCTTATTTTTCTGGTTTAGTTCTGGAACTTACAAATTAAGTTTCAAAACCTTACAAATTAAGCACTACATATTACTGCAAAAAAAAGACTTATTCATTAACTTTACATTCCTTTTGGTTGCTTTACTAATATAGTTGTGTATGTTTGACAATGTACTGTAAAAAAAGGTAAATCAATTGTTTGAATTACAAAGAACCAGTTCTTATAAAAAGATTCTGATTTTCACATGTGCCCCAGGATGTAGTTTAAAGTAATAATATTTTTAATATTGCTGAGTTTCTTTGCACAGACCAATATTTTGCTTCATAAGACATATCATATCGTCAGGAGCCATGGGCATTATTTTGTGTTCCCTCATATGCTACTTTTTTTCACCCATAGTGACGAGATGGGAAAATTCTCTCACAAGACTCTAGGAACTGTACAGTATAAATATACTGTTACCAATTTCCTGAAGACAACACTTAAAGTCCATCATGAGTCCAATATGCTTGCTCACATTGCACAAATAACTTTAATAGCTACTCAACCTGTGAAAACAAATACACTCAGTTGTCCCGTGGCAACTATTAACAGAGTTTATGATATCTGGGTATTTAAAGCTGTAGCTAGGAATTTACAGAGCACTCATGATGTTTCTTTGTGTGTGTTTGCCTTGTCACATTATTGCTCTTGGTTGGAGTGTCAAGAAAGTCTGTTTGCTGCATGTGCTTGAGTGCACACAAGAGACCAACCAAAGAATATGATCTGGCAACAGAATATGCTGTAGAGGATAAATGGGAAACACTGTACAATAACAGTACATAAGCAATGATGTTCTAATATGCAGTGTAAACTAAATGTTACATTTTTAACTAGTGATGAACTATGAACTACACTGTTTCAACTTACTATGATATTTTATGTGAAGCTGCTTTGACAATCTATATTGTAAAAGCGCTATACAAATAAAGGTGAATTAAATTAAATTAATGAGGAATTAACCCTTGCACTATTCAAGAACTAACGACAACATGAATGAAATGAGTTAATGTGTAAATGATGGCTTAATTACTATATAATCTTAATTACTTATATATGTTTGTTAATTATGGCATTGATTAACACGTTACATGTTCTGCTAAATGTAACCAACATGACCTGTTCATGTATCTTTATGTCATCACTTTACTTGTAGGCGAACGTTGTCATGGTCTCATTTTAACTACTCATGATTTCTGTGTTTAAACTGTCAATTTTGATGTAGATGTTTGTTTTGATGTGATGCTTCTATTGTTTCAATGTAAACATGCACTAGACCAAAGGTGCTCAAACTTTTTCTTATAAAAGGCCGAAATGTTAATTTTACCGTTTTATATTCAGCCTATTATAGTAAAAACAAACAATCCCATTTATAACACAATGGAGCTCAATACTGAATACACTAGTCGAGCTGCTTCTACATTTGTCTTAATTTGCTCACAATGTCTTGTGCATTGTCCTCTACCTGTCAAGTGTGTACATTTTAAATGTCTGATTTATATGAAACATTTCATTGTAGTTGGCTTTTTTTAAGCTCCTCAATTAAACAAAAAAATAAATGAAGAGGTCAGATGCAAAAGCCGCTAAACGCCACTTCTGCCAAAAATGAGAATGACATTGAGTGCATGCTTTAGCCACGTAGTACACCACCAGCAAATAAATTAGCTTCTAATCATCCAAATCCAAGCGTCAGCACATTCAGAAATAACAGTTTGCTAACAAAAGCCACTAAACACTACTTTGCTTTTAAAAGCAAAAACCGCTATATCCTGAGAACCAATCAGAATGCGCAAATCAAATCATATGTTTTCAGTGTAGCAGTGAGCTGATACGCCGGCTTTTATGAGGAGACATATTCTGCTTTCGGCGGGGCAGTGGCGCAGTAGGTAGTGCTGTCGCCTCACAGCAAGAAGGTCGCTGGGTTGCTGGTTCGAACCTCGGCTCAGTTGGCGTTTCTGTGTGGAGATTGCATGTTCTCCCTGCCTTCGCGTGGGTTTCCTCCGGGTGCTCCGGATTCCCCCACAGTCCAAAGACATGCGGTACAGGTGAATTGGGTAGGCTAAATTGTCCATAGTGTATGAGTGTGTGTGTGTATGTTTCCCAGAGATGGGTTGCGGCTGGAAGGGCATCCGCTGCGTAAACACTTGCTGGATAAGTTGGTGGTTCATTCCACTGTGGCAACCCCGGATTAATAAAGGGACTAAGCTAAAGAGAAAATAAATGAATGAATGAATATTCTGCTTTCGATTTCGATTGTAAAAGATGGGGTTTGATGAACTTAATGAGCCTGTCCGACTGTCAGTGAATGGCAAATGAAACGGCCCCTAACCTTAAAACTCTGTGCATTATAAGAAAAAGAAACAAAATGTACAGTCGGAAGTGTAGCATGCATTTATAGCAAGCTCAGATGCTGTTCTTTTATCCTACTTGACCAAGACTTCAAGTATGGTAAGAATAAATAAATGACTTCTAAAATTGTCTGAGAGGCATCCCCTTTTTGCCCAGTAGACCCACCTTGTGTTTTATTTGCTAATTTAAGCTATTTTTTAAAAGATAATGTAAAAAACGACATTATTTGTATTACTTCAAAATACCTGTACATCTGATAATCTTTTAATATTAATGGACGATGCACAGATATTGATGTTTCACAATGTTTTTACACTACATTATTTGAATCTAACAAGCTTAGTTTACAATGTTACTTTAAATTAAATCTACTTAAATTTAATCTAAATCTCAAATATCAGAAATGACAATAGATTGATAAGATTTAATGGCAGTTTGATTAATGCATTTACTTGACAGATTTCATTCATTCATTTTCCTTCTGCTTTGTTCCTGGTTTATCACAGCGGAATAAACCGCCACTTTATACATTTTACATTTCAGGTGGTTTGTGTAGAGTGTTTTATGTTTAGTAAATTGATTTCTATATGCATCTTTAGTGATTTTCAACTAATTACACTGTATTGTTCCAATAGGTGTGTTTAGAGGGTTTTGCATAAAAAAAGCACAAGCTGGTTTTGACACCAAAGAAAATCTACCTTGTTAAAAAAACAAACAATTGTCTAAAGTGATGTTTTTTGGAAAAAAAACAGGGTATTTTATTTACTTGCTAATAACCTTATCATTACATATAAAATGAAACTTCTTAACCTAATCAGAGGAGCCTGTTAGAGAATGCTCATTTACAAGAAAAGAGATCTGATGGATTTAGAGGGGTTTCCATCTGAACTCTTCGAATGTAAAACAAGAGTTCATGATGAGTTAATAATAGTGTGCCCCTCCAAGTAAAGTGATGACTTAAAGAAAGATTAACAGGTGATGAGTTTATTTTGGTTACATTTAGCTAAAGCGTTAAATAATACATTAACAAACATGTACTAACAAGCACAATGACTCATGTTGTAAAAAGTTAATTCATAATCTGAGCATGCCTTAACTCATTATTAGTTTATAATGTAGTAATTTTAATTTACATATTACCACAACATTCGTTCAATTTAATCTGTTATTGTAACATTAAACAATAAAGATGCATTTCTAGGTCAAAGGTCATTGTTTTCTTCCTTTCTTACTTTGCAAAAGTTTCTTTGTGGCATAAATTCTTTTGTATATTCCTCAAGTCCTCAGCATGAAAAAATCCATTCACTTCCTAAGAGTTCAGTCTTTAAAGCGCCCTGATGTCTCCAATCATACCTAATCTGCAAATGTTATTAAAGACGCAATGGTGGATCTTTAGAAATCTTCAATGCAGAGGACAAAAGCAAATGGCTGTGTATTTACTTGTGCAATAAATTACAGCAGTCACTGTCTATAGCGTGTGTCTTTACACATTGTATTCCTCATAATGTGAGAAATTAATGTCCCCAAAAGTATAGCAATACCAGTATTTCTTGACAGCGTCTTGTATGATGATGTCGGTATGACAATGTTCTAATGCAGTGCTTCCCAAAGGCGGAGGTCGCAAGACAATCAGGGGAAGTCACTTCGTAATTTTCAAAAATAAAAATATTTTTTATTAAACTAACAATCACCACATTTTATCCATAACCTACAGAAGAAAAATAGTTTTTGCAACCTCTTGGGTGATTATGTTATATTAAAGACACAGCACATACAGTTAAAGTCAGAATTATTAGTCCCCCTGAATTATTAGCCCCCCTGTTTATTTTTCCACAATTTCAGTAAAAATAAAACAAATAAGACTTTCTCCAGAAGAAAAAATATTATCAGACATACTGTGACATTTGTTTTTGCTCTGGTAAATATAATTTGGAAAATATTTAAAAAATTAAATTAAATTCAAAGGGGGGCTAATAATTCTGACTTCAACTGTATATTTTATGGAACCAGGTTAAACTTTCTGACAGCTTTACGCCTGTCACATACATTAAAAATAAATACAGGCCACAACTGAACATAGAGGATAATCTCAGAGAGGCGTGCTTTAAAATTAAATGATAAATAAACTTGGGCCTATTGGTACAGTATGTGTGTGCCGTTGTGTACAAGATTTATATATTTATAACCATCTTAGGGCATATTGGTGGTCACAAGTCACTGGCATTGTTATTTTGAAGGTCGCAGGCTAAAACATTTGGGAACCCTCCTGTCCTAATGTGGGTTTTGTGACAATGAAAATTTGCCACAGGTTTCCTGTGAGAGTTGGGTTTAGGGGTAGGTGTGGGGTAAGGCCATATAATAAGCAGATTTTACTGTACAAAACGCATTACACTAATGGAGACTCCCTGTAAACCACCAATACCAACGTGTGTGTGTGTATGTGAATTCAAAATAATGTTACACCAGTTTATTCTTCAATTCTGATTTAAAGTAGCTTGAGATCATCCATCAACACACCCAATCAACATCCTAAAGTTGTGCTTCTGTTGATATTTGAAAACAGACAATTAGTAATAAAAAATCTAAATACGATAGCAGTATCTTACCATGATTCACAAATAGCTGAGATACTTCAGAGCAGGAGATGTTGACCACCTGTCCAACTTCTGCCCCAGACCAGCACCAAAATTCATCCCACTCAGTGGGGCACCCTGAGACACAAAAATACACAGAACTCATAAACACATTACATTTTTCTTTCTTTCTTTCTTTCTTTCTTTCTTTCTTTCTTTCTTTCTTTCTTTCTTTCTTTCTTTCTTTCTTTCTTTCTTTCTTTCTTTCTTTCTTTTTTTCTTTCTTTCTTTCTTTCTTTCTTTCTTTATAAAAGGACTGATTGACTGAACAGAAGACAAAAAAAGGAGACGATGGACATTAGGATGGAAAGAGAGATTGAGGAAAGGCACAGACATAGGGCATAGGGCATAGATGCTCACAGAATTGCTAAAAAGTTTCAGATAAGCTAGGCATCTCCACTGTTCACAACTGAGCATCTGCCTGAGGAATATAACAGAACTGTGAAAACCGAAGCTGAATGAATGAGGAAGGCTTTGAGCATAATGAGAGCCACAGGGATCATATTTGGTCATGACTACAAAAATATGACTGCCATGTCTATGCCAAGGATTTCATTTCCACCGCTTGCAGGTCTATATCCTCAGACGTTTTGTTATTAATGTTTTATTATATATTGTTATTACTGTTATTACCTCTTAGTGCTTTGCAATGATGCTAGAATGATAGAAGGAGACTTTTTAGACATTATTAGAGTCATTTCAACAAAAGGACATTTTTTCTTAGAACTGCAGAAACCTTTTTTTTACTACCAAGACACATCTGTGGTTTGTCTTAAAGTTCAAACTAAAACAAGTAAAGGACATTACAAAACTGCTTTGCAAATTAGCATAAGGATGTTGACATTTAATTGTCATTGCTAATTTAATCAGCAAAAAATATCAGTGGTCATTAAAGGCAAATCATCATTAGAGTCTTAAGTATTGAGGTGTGAAAAACCAAGTTAAGTTTAAATTAAGTTTACTTAAAATTAAACTAAATTAGGCTGCAATTTTATGGTACACCAAGCAGAACATGTGGTTTCATTTGAAAATGAATGAACATGTCACAAGGCAAAATTAAAAAGTGTCATAAGTGACAGTATACAAAGCACCATATTTTCACATGCTATTTTATTAGGCAGTACAAATGAAGAATAATGTTGAGCAGATGGCCAGCAGATTATGAGTTAGTAAAAGTTTCCTTCTGCATAGTCTGCAAATTTGTCATTATGTGGACAATATCCTATGCACATTTGAGAAGAAAATAACACTCATTATGATCATTTTATCAAATTACCATAAATCACATCTATCATTTTACAATGTGGCGATTATTTCAAGTAAAAAAAACATTTTCTCTTGAGTAAGTTGGTCGTTTGAGAAGCATATTCACTTTATATCAAGTCAGTGGCTTATATGCTACTGTTAGTTAATTCCCCATGCAGTATTAAGGTTAATTGGTTGTTTTTCATTAACATTTTTTTATTTATTAAAATGACAAAAAAATCATCATAACTTTAAATGGCATCCCTTATACACATTGAAAAAACAGATCATTTAATTAACGAACTCAAGTTTTTTGAAAATCTGTTGCTCACTTCCAGCAGTTCCATAAGGGCATGTAGAAACGGTGGCCTTGTTAATGAATCAAAAAGAGCGGAATCTAAAGTAACCTAGAAACCTGTTAACCAACAGAGTAAGAACCCTGATAGAACTAAAAGCATCTTCAGCTTAAAGGGCTGCCTCATACAGCACATCCATTAGTTCATATTCTCTATAAGCTCATTTGTCTCTTACAATGACTTACCTGTTGACCACATTCTTACTTTATGCACATCACCCATTGATTATACCAAATATATCAGACTAAAGAAAAGCATTAGGTGTAAAGCAGCAGAGAGAGCAAAGGATAGTATAATTTCTATTTATGGGTAAACTATCATACTAAAAGGAAGAGTGTAAAGGGAAAATATATGCATATGATATAATATGCTTAAAATAATAATTATATTATGCTTATTTTTAGACGGATAGATGCGAGAAGAAACTCGTGTCTCTTCAGAATGTTACAGCTCAAAACACCCTATAGGCTATGTGTTATATCCTGTAAATACCCTTTCTTGAGTGAATGCAAAAAAACATGTTTTGTTCATGTGTCTCTTTAGGATGCAAATAAGCTACTCTTCCCCCCATTTCCAGAAGAAAGCAAAGGCTTTACACACCATATCTCAGATAATCTCAAAACAAAATGCCTTCTGGGTTTTATCATGTCTATCTTACGCACTAGGTTTAATATCCGCCTTCAACTGAAAGACTTGTCAGTTTAAACTCCAGAAATACACTTACCGGCCACTTTATTAGGTACACCTGCCCAACTGCTCATAAACACAAATTTCTAATCAGCCAAACACATGACAGCAACTCAATGCATTTAGACGTGGTCCAGACGATCTGCTGCAGTTCAAACCAAGCATCAGAATGGAGAAGAAAGGGGATTTATTCGACTTTGAATGTGGTATGGTTGTTGGTGCCAGATGGGCTGGTCTGAGTATTTCAGAAACAACTGATCTACTGGGATTTTCACACGCAACCATGTCTAGGGTTTACAGAGAATGGTCAGAAAAGGAGAAAATATGCAGTGAGTGGCAGTTCTGTGGGCGCAAATGCCTTGCTGATGCCAGAGATCAGAGGAGAATGGCCAGACTGGTTTGAGCTGATAGAAAGGCCACAGTAACTCAAATAATCACTCGTTACAACTGAGGTATGCAGAAAAGCATCTGCTGGTGGTGGTGTAATGGTGTGGGGGATATTTTCTTGGCAGACTTTGGGTCCATTAACACCAATTGAGCATTGTGTCAACGCCACAGGCTCGCCACGAAGAATTAAAGCAGTTCTGAAGACAAAAGGCAGTCCAACCTGGTATTAGTGAGGAGTACTTTAGTGGCCGGTGAGTGTATATACAGTATAACACGGTGGCCAGTGAGTGTATATACTGTATAACACATGCAGAGAAAGCCAGCTGTCAAATAACATGTGTGTAGTGAGTTTTAAATTTATTTTTAGTAATTTTACAGTTCACCTTATTGTCTTACAAAGCTTAAAATGTCCAAAACCATTATATCAAAAACACACAAAGTTCATATAAACACAGTCGATAATGTCTGTGAGCATAAACTCCCGGGAAAGAAACCACATGTTCATTTTAGATCTGTGTATTAAAATGACAGCAGTATAACATACAGTACACACTGCTGTCTGCTGTTAACCCTCTGAGAGTTCAGGTGTCTTAGAGAAGTTTGACATGCGTTTTGACATCCACACTTATACTTGTAAATTTCGTAAAAATTAAAAAATGCATATTTTTCTTTGTTTCAGCCTTCCATTCACACTGAGACAGAGTTTTTAGGAAATTAACATGCATCTCTCTGAATACACTGTAAAATATGGAAGAATTTGAAAACGCTGTTGTTGCAGTGTGGACTGTGAAAACAGAAGCTTTCGAAAACATGTGACACAGTCATGTGACCAATCCAGTTAACATGGTGAATGACACTGTAAAGCAGATGTTTTGGATGTTGTCTGTTTTGACATCTTTATTAAAGATTAATGTCAGTTCCATGTTACATATTGTTTCTCTTCAAGAGGACATGGAATGTTTACAGCGAGCTATTGTTCAGTGGCGGGAACAGACAACAGTTGTGTTACATGCCAACATTTTGTCACAATGTTTCAAAGAGACAGAAAGTAAATAAACGGCAGGTCAACATGACACAGGTAAAAGCGTCTTATGTCTGTACACATGCGCAATACATGAACGAAAGTATTTTCAGTCACTTTAGTGTGGATTACCATTTTTTTCTGAGTGTTTTTAGAGAGAAAAAAAAATATTTCAAATTTATCTGGATTAGTTCAGATGTAGCTTTAGACATTTACAGATTTTTTTTTCAATTTCTGATAACACTGTATTCAACCCAAACTGTGCAACAATAGGTTAAAATCAACAGGTATGTACAATTTAGTTTTTATTTGAAAAAGTATATATGTGACTAGTCAAGTAAGAAAAAAAAAGAACCAATAAGACCAATAAACAAAGTAAATATAAGCAAATATCAGATACATTTTAGATGTTTCTTCAAATGTAGTCACTGACATTTACATGGACATCGATAATTGAAATATTTACCCTAATGTGAATAAGCCAATAATATGATTAAGGTGTTTATATGAGCTGCTTTCAGAACGTTCCTTTCATGTTTCCATTTTACATGGTATAATAAATAGATTGATTGATGACATTACATCACGCTATCCAGTGTGTCCTCCAGAGTTTCATGTAATTTTGGTTGTATTTTTTTTTTTACTTCAACTACAGCTCAGCAGTTCGTCAACAAACTTTCAGCAGCTCCCGCAACAAATTTTGAGATACTGAATGAAAGTATGAAGTAAGGACAGATAGGAAAGAACTGTTTCAATAGAATTTGATACTGAACACCGATGACTTGTGTTATGATCTCTTAAGAGTTTACTGTGCGTGCACTTGTGCCCTTGGATATTCTGCTTTCTAGGGTCCTACCATACTGGAATGACTCAGTAGGTGCAAACAATACAGTGTCCAACAGCAGTGTGTGTATGTACTAGTCTGTCATAACAAGTGGAGACAAGTCCTATATGATGGTAATAGATTAAAGTGTTTACGTATCTGTCCTGCACTTCAATAATGTGACTAAAATAGAAATACACAGCATCTCAATTCAATTTGTGTTTACTACAATTATGGCTTATGTAGTCACATTAAGGTCTTTAAAAATTTCTGTTTTAAAATACTCTTAATAAGAGTATTGTCTTAATCATATTAAAATAAATAAAAAAATTGGTGTCTATGTAAACATGCTGACTGTTGTTTTTAATCATACAGCACTTTGTGTTCAGACATCAATGAAACAAGCAGCTCCACATTAATCTAACTTTAATTAGCCTTTGTTGTCATTAGAGATGTGTGCTGCTCAATACCACAAGCCTTTAAATTCTGTGTTAATTCAATTAGGACATTTTAGTTTAGCCTCCTGTCAACACTTAAGTGGTTTAAGGTAAAGGGTTTCCATCACCAGTCCTGAGCCGGGCTTCTGATGTCATAGTGGGGGATAATCAAATATTTTCAGACACTGCTTTTGATTGTGGAGATTATAAAAAAAAATGTATGTAGGCTTTTACTATTATAGGCTGGCTATTTATACTGTGGATTTATGTATGTATTTATTTATTTTCAGAAAAGCAATTTACTTGTTTAATAATGATTTGATCAGCTACAGTTTGAAATTACCCAGTTTTTCTCTTAGGGCTTACTATGGAGTCTCTGTCACCATCTTCTGAATGAACATTGTCAACCGTCTTTGTTCAAAGACAGGCTAATGACTGTCGATGCACTATATTATTATTTAAAATGATATTTTATTTAAAAATAGGCACTATCCTATAAATAAAACAGCATAGTTGCAATTTAACCAACTACATTCTTGACTGACTAAAAAAGCCTCAAAAGTACATTATGTTGTCCAACAGCAGCAATATTTGTCAAACTGTGGAGAGTCCTCTGCTTGCTGCTGTATGTAGGCAGGGTAATACACAAGAGTGAAGGGTTAAGAGGCTGGACTAGTGCTGTTATTGGCAGAATATTGC